TGAAAGCCAGTATGCGTGTTACAAATGAAATCCTTATCTTTTTTCCTAAAATTTTATTTCTCATTTTTAGATTATTATTAATCAAGACAAATTTAATCCCTCTATAAATAATTCAATAAATTATGAATTTCCCTTTTAGGGTTTTAAGAGGGAGTTGAGAAAGTTTTTTTTTTTTACTTTGGGTTTCAATTTTGCTGTCATAAAATTTTTCCTAAAATTTGGTGTTTAGTTAAAATCTGGGGGTGTCTTGATTATATAATTTTTGTTTTCGTTATTTTGGATTCTTGGCAACTAAATTATTCAAATTGAATCTTACAGATAAGCCCTAATGACCTGTGGGTAAATTTTTTTATCAGTGGTATTGGGTTATATAAAACTTTTATTGCTCAGTTATATAGACCGTTTCTATTTTTCTCCTAGCCAAATTCTAGTTAACTTTGTACTTTTTTGAATTTTAATTTTTTTTCCAATACTACCATTGCGCATTAAAATTTAAAGGGGAAATGCCATAGATTACAGAAAAAAGAAGAATTTTCTTATTTTTTTAAAAATTTTTAAAAAAAGCTAAACTTAATACTTCCTAATTTTATTTTTTTTTTTATCCTTTTTTTATTGAATACCAATTTATATATTACTTTAAAATCACACATCTCCCCAGTTTTTCAAAAAAGTTCAATTAGATTAAACATCTGACTTTTCCCTGTAACAATACAAAAATGCAACGTGTGCATGTTCCTTTGAAAATTTCAATACAAACCACTGAGTTGCAGGGTTTTTCATTTTTTTGTGTCCCCTCCAGATAAACCCCTCATGAAGCATTTAAATATTTTTTCTTCCTGTGTTTTCTGTAACCAAAGATGTAGTAGTTGGCAATTGGTACTTGTTGCTTTAAAACTTCTTCTCTTCATTATAACAATGCTGAAAGATATTTTTTTTACCAAAACAAATTTTTTCAATATCATTTGGAATTTAAATAAATTTTTTTCTATATTAAAAGCAAATACATTTATTAAAATAAAAGCATTATATTATATGTATTTAAATGAAATGATGAATACGTGGGTTTTAATCATGATTTTTTCATAAAAATTACCTATCAATGAGCATTTTCTTTGGGAAAGAATTTTTTCAAAAAATGGCCTTCTTAATTGGGAGTTGTTTGTTCAACCCAAAATCACTGGGGAAAAGAAAACCATTTTTAAGTGGAGTCCAGTTTAAAACCTCAAAAAGTTTTTAAAATGTTTGGAACACACCACAGTAGATTCAGTGACCCAAAATATTTCAACTATATTTATAATAAGGAATACATGTAACTATTTAATCAGCTTCAAATTTGTAAAATAAATTTGAAAATGATAAAAATTTACAATTTACAATTTAAATTTTATAACTGTTAGATTAAAAGCAAAACGTTTCCCATTATTTTACTAAAAATACAAATCTGTTTTTTTTCAAAAATATTATTTTGTTCATAATAGTGGCAAAGTTTACAAAAATTATTTTTTAGGTGCTTTACCTTTTACAATGACCCTTTTGCCTTCTTATCTTTGAAAGTTAGTCAAACCATAAATTTTTTTGTGGTTTTTTAATCTTTTTCCTTTGGAATTGGAAAATTTATTTCCATTTTGAAAGCCAAAATTGCACCAAAAATGATAATAAAAACTTTTTTTTTAAAAAAACCGAAAACGTGGCTATATAGTGAGATAAAAGTGGACAATTTTGGGTTTTTTATTCGTGCCTTTAAAAACCCCGTTCTGGTTTTTGGAATTCCAGGGGCATATAATTTTAGAAGGGGCTTTAGAGTCCTTTTACCAAAATAAAAATATAACAAGCCCGTAACGTCTAATCTATTGGGGTAGTATTAGTCTATGTTTTTCGTACCGAATTGTTGTGCCGCAATTATGTCTCCCAAAGGGTTTTTAGCACGAAGTCGCTCGTTTGATAAAAATTTTTTGAAAGGGGAAGGGGGTAGAGACTTGGGGTTGGGTTCATTTTAAGGGTTTATATAAAAGTGAAAAAAGTGATAAAAATTTTTTTTAATTTTTGGGGAAATTTTTTTCACAAGGCCCCGGGGAAAAGAATCCCTTGCTCTAGGCTCAAATTTGGGGTTGCCGGCCTTCTCCTTTAAATTAAGTATATTTTTAAAAGGGGGTCATTTTATAAATTTTTTTGGGGGTTTTTTTAAACACTTTAAGATAACACAGGTTTTTTTTTTACAATCTGGGATATTTTTTTTTTTCCCAGGGCCGATACTTTTTTCTATGCCCGTTCAATTTTAAAAAATTTTCTTAAAAAATTTTTTAAATAAATTTTTCTTACGACAAAACACCTCGGGCCTGATAATTTACCCGATTTTTAAATAAATAAATAATGAAAAAAATTTTGTAAGTTGACAAAAAAAGGTGAAATTAAATACCCGGGGAATTTTGAAAAAATTGGGCAAATTAAACTTGGGGGAATCGCCCTTTTGAAAAAATCATTTTTAATAATAATTGGGTTAAAAAAAATTAAACATGATTTTTTTCAATGTTAGCATAGCTTTCCATTCGCATGATTTCTCATATGTAACTTCGGTGCAAAACTTGAAACATGGATTGTTCCTCTAAGTGTTTTTCAAATCCTTTCGGCCTCTTTTGTAACTTGCCAAACATACGTGTGTTTCCCCCCTCATTTGTTAACTGCCGAATCTTCGTCGCCCTATTCTAAAAATGGTGTATCTACTAATTTCCTCTTTTTTGGGGAAAAGGGGGGTTAAAGGTTCCCAAGAGTTGTAACTTTTTATTTTAAACTCTAACAGTGGTGACTTTGGATTGGGTATGATAGATGTCACTGTTTTAAAAAGCACTTTTGGGGTTAATATTTATAAAAATTTGCAGTAATTTGTAAAAATTAAAAAAAATTTGGAGATGACCAAAATGTTTTTTTTAGATAAAAAAATTACTTCTAAAAATGAGTTTGCGGAGATATTGACAAAGTAAGGCTAAATTGTAAATTTATTTTTGAGTTCGCATTTTTTTTTAAGAATGTAAAAATAATTTTTTTTACTATTGAATATTAGTAGATTTATTACATTCTAAAGAGAACATTTTCAGAAGAGTGGTTGAAAACCTGCTTAATCACTGAATCATTTTAATCTTCGTAAATTACTATGTCAAAGTGTAAATTTTCTTCACGTTGATTCGCAACTTGGGCCTTTCTCGATATTAACAATAATAAATTGGGTGCCATAAAAAAAAAAAAACAAACATTTCATAAAATTTTTTAATAAATGGAACTTGCTAAAACACAAACTGAATATTTTCGAACCATTATGAAAAAATGAAATGAATTGTAAAACCATCTTCTTAATATTGTGTTTTAAAAATGATACAATTAAAATTAAAATTCCCAATTTAATTTTTTTTAATTCCACAATTAAAGTCAATACCACTCCCTTCAAAGTTCAAGTTTTTTTTGGGGTTTTAATTTTCAAGAAATTAAAAAATATTGCTCAATTTTTTTAAAATCTTTCAAGATTGCAAAATCGTCTTTTAAAAGTTTTTTAAAATCCAGTAAAATTTTTGCGTTTCCCCCATTTTGGGTGTTTGTCCCAAAACTTTAATAGGACTTTTCCAAATGAAAGGCAAAATAAAAACCCGGGGGCAACATTTTAGATCATGCCTATTTGTTTTTAAGAATTTTTTATTTTTTAAAATTTAAATTTAAATCATTGTTTACCCGGAGAACACTGAAATCGCATGAAACTTTATGTTTTGACAAGACAGGGGGTTTTTCCCCGACCCCTTTGGAAATTTTAAAAATATCTTTTTTTTTTTGTGAATATTTTTAAAAGACTTAAAAACAAGATTTTTTTTAAAACTTTTGGCAATAAAAATTTTCCCCACGACTTGATGTTTTTGGGATAAAAAATTTTAAAATTTTCCCCATATTTTTTGTAGAAGTTCGGGTTTTAAACTGCAGTCAAAAATTCAAAGAAAAAAATTTTTAAGGGAAAACCCTTCTGAAAAATTAAAGTAAGTTTTGCCCTGAAAGGGGCCCAAAATATTATCATTAACCCAATTTAAACAAAAAACAATGTTCGATACTCAAAAAATTTTCCCAAATAGTTTAAAACGAATATCCGAATTATAGTTATCCAAAACTATGTGTTTGTAAAACTTTGAAAAAATATATAAAAAAGAATGTTTAAATATAAAAACAAAAAACTAAAAACAAAATTAAAAATTTCCCACTTAAAAAACTTTTAAAAGGGCTAAAAATTTTATTTCATCCTTCAGAAATTTTTTTTAACTGTTTTTCCTTTTAAAGCGGGGTGTTTTTAAAGTTTTGGGATTGTTTGTTGTTATTGGATTTTAATATTTTGGGTCCCCCCCTTTCAGGTACTTTAAATATTTTTTTCAATTTTGTTTTGGCGGGCCAAAAGTTTGCCAAAAAATTTTACAGTGTTTGGAGATAGACAAAAAAAAGGGGCAAACGGGAAAGCTTTTCCATTGGAAACAAGAAAAAAAATAAACGTTTATATTACAAAAGTAGGACGAAAACCCTTTAAAGTTTTTTTTTGGAGATAAAAAAACAAATACAAAATATAAATTTTCATTATCTATTTTTTGGAAAAAAGGGATTTTGGGAAACTTTTTTAAAAGAAAAAGGGGGCGACGAAGGGGAAATAAAAAAGTAAAAAATTTAATATTGGGAACTTTAAGAAAACCCCCCTTTCCCCCAAAAGATAAGGAAAATACGAACTGCATATGTATCGTTGTCATCACTTTTAAACTAATTTTAATCATATTCAAAAGTTTTGATCTTTTTTAGAATAACTGTATATATTTATAAATTGTTTTATTTTAAGGAGTACGATTCAAAGCATAACTCACTTTAGTTTTTTTAAACCAAGACGTATAAACTTTCTGCTTGTTGTGATTCAAAGGCGGTTCCATTGCACATCTCCTCACTGCTTAGCCACGCCCCCTCGTTTCACCTTGTGCAGATTATCGAGTCCCGCAAAATACGTGCAGACGAGTCGAATATCAAATTCTCCTTTTTAATAGCAGTTGTTGATATACTGTAAGCTTATTTCAGTTACTTTGATATAGGACTGGAAAACTGTTTGTTATCATAAGTGACAGAATACCTTGTCTTGCAGAATTCTGCTAATAGTTATGTCATATGTTTCCGCGACTGCGCACTTGTTTATAATGAAAATTTTCAATCATCCCTAGAAATTCTTTATTTTTGACCTTATTTGTCATATAACCAAACTGTAAAGCCATCTTGTATTTTACCTTGACTACATTTATCAGCAGCAATTTGGTCAAATTATGGTTGTTTAAAAAAGAAAATATCAGTATTTTAGTTCAAAATATGTAAAATTTGTGTTACCTCTAATCCTTTATTTCCCAGTTACATATCGCAATAATTTTCTAAAAATAAATTGATTTAAAGACTCAGTTTTTTGTCAGTCTGCAGAAATGGATATTAAGTTGGACAACTGTTTCAATATCATTAAGTTATAATGTATACTGCACTTCAAAGCTATAATTTTAACATGTACACATTTTACCATACAATTCTTAATTGGAAGGTAATACGTCAGTAAACTAACAGTCACTTTAACCAAGGAAAAAACATTCTCTCTGATAACTTTTCAGAAAGCTGTCACTAGAATGGGGGTCATATAGACCCTAAGATCCAAAAATTTCACAAGAACATGCTTTTTTCTGTTGTGCACATTGAGATGTACATTCCATACCCAATTTGTGACAGCTTTACTACTGCAAAAAGATATCAAGACTGAAAAATGGCATTTAAATTGGTTAAATTGTTTATTACCATTTATCTGAAGTTGAGTTTGTCAAAATTTCTTCAAAATACATAACTGGTTAATATTTAACATTGTATTGACAATTTTTATGTGGTACAGTGTATATTTTGTTAACTGATTGAAAAGTGGTTGTGAAATTTTGAAGAACAGGAAAATGGGTCAGTAATGATTTGTCCTCGATCCATAATAATAATTCAGGTAAAATTTTAAAAAGTTGTTGCAATTATTAGCTGAAATGATAATATTTGCAGAATTTTAAGAGAAATTTTATTTTTATATTTTCACTGTCAGTTATTAAAGAAAAATCTGTTAGCTGATCGGAAAGTGGCAGTACGGGGATAATAAAATAAGGATCTTAATCATGCTGATTGATCATATAGTGTGTTTTAATGATATTAAGGTCAAATTTACCAGGAATACAGAACATGCGGGAGACCAGGTACTGATTTAACAGCAAGTCCTGGTAGAATCATGGTGGCCGCATTGAATCGACAACTCAAGAACTGGTAGAAGCTAGGTAGCAAATATGGTAACGAAAAAAATATAAGAACAGACTGCCCATATATAACTTTGAAAGTAGCATTCCAGATTTTTGTTTCCTATGTGAATAATCAGAGCTGAAAGTGCTTTAAAAATGCATATTTTGCATTGTCAATTTTCTAAGTTTGTTTAAAACCTGGGATGTACACGTATAGTATGTTCCAGTTAAAACATAGCCCTGTTCTCAAACTTATGAAGCCCTAGTCAAAGTGGCATCAAGGTTTATATTATTATTACCAATATACATTTTTTCTAAAAATTAAGTTGGCTTATTGGGGTATATTAGCACTTGTTTCTGTACTGGCTGTATACACAGTGTTCCCACTAGAATTTAAATTTGAGGGTACATGTACCCCCTAGGTCATAATTTTGGGGGTACACAGAATATTAAGGGGGTACAAACTATAATTTAGACAAGCAAGTCAGTTAAACACAGACAGTTTTAAGTGTTTTTTTTTCATATATCTCGCATGTTAAACAAAACATTTTCCCGTTGTCTTTGTCAAATCTAAGCCATGAAAATTCGGACAACCAGGAGTTCTGAAATCGTTTGCAATGTTTCTTTTTGGGGGTTCAACACTATTTTCACTAGGGCCTGGTTCTTGATTTGCGCTAGAGGATTGAGTAAAGGTCGGCGATTTTTCGCTGGAATCGCTTTTATGGAACCATTCATTTAAATTGCATTGCATTTTTAATAACTTTTCCAGCGATTATTTAAATATTTCAGACGGCTTATTTGTATTGCCCGGATGTAGACTTGTTACTGCGTTTAATATAGAGCGTCGCTAAGCGTCGTTAATAATTATGAACCAGTCCATGAGCTAAAAATAGCACAGCTGGGAAACCCGAGTTATGACCTCAGATTAAATTACGGTCGTATCGATTTTTACGGTCTTGTAAACAATTTCAGAGATTTATGAGTAGAATATTGATTTGTGATTCGAATTTGCGGATAATGTTTTGGCAGTTCAACTTCAATTTTTATACGTGCATGCACGCACCTAGTTGTAATTTCATGCGTGATTTTTGTAAATTATACGTGATTCACGTACATTTGTGCGTGAATGGGAACACTGATACATTTAAATCCCACAAAGGATCTTAAATTCTTTCATATGAGAAAGTTCCAGGGTTCGACATTAACGGGATCCCGGGATTCCGAGGATCCCAAAAAGTCGGGAGGAATCTCTGTGATTCCTAGCTGGGGATTCCGTTGGGATCCCTGAAAAATTACTGTGTAAATTTTTGAAATTGTCTGAATTAATATCATTGAATCACAAATATTCAAGAAAAGTGTTAATAAAGACTGGCACAACTGCAATGCTCAAGAAAGAAAAGAAAAGTCCCGCCGGTAAAATCTACGCTCTTGAATCATGTACGCCAGATTTCCTTTGTGCAGTGACTGCACAATATATAATGAGAAATATTTTGGCTAAAGAAACATTCTTAAATAATTTTATATCATGCATTGACTTCATAATATAAAGTTGTGAAAATTCAAGAAAGAAATATAATTATCGTATAATTTTTTACACGAGCGGTGTGTACTTCAAATATGTGCAGATCCGCGTTGCCGGCGGTAGCTACGAAGTTTACAAGTACATGTTGTTTTTTTTTTTGTGCCAAAATTCGGCATTTGTGATCATTGTAAATTTTCGTAAAAAAAAGTGAAAAAACAAAAAGATTACTAATGTATTTTTTTTTCTCCCTGTAGTACAGCAAAAGTATAATTAATAAATAGAATAAAAAGAATCCATACTTTTCAGTTTAAAATCCTTTTTGAAATTTTGCAGCCTTAAATGCTAAAAAATATTGTCTAACTAAAGACTGAAGTGTTCTAAGGTCAATTAAGGTATAGCATAATTTACCGACAAAAAAAATTAGGAAAAATCCTTAGGTGAAACATACACCAAATGACGTATATTTCATCTGACAGTTCTTTGGGCCAATCAGTGTTCTGAACTACATGACTGCTGTATGCGGTGAGTGCCTTTGATGTGGCATATGTCAAAACTTTAAAAAAATCAATACACACAGGGAGGAAAAGAATCGGACATTTCAGTGTAAAAATTGAGAACAATAAATTTGGATATTACACATCCTGTCATGGACTTGGGGCAACTTTTAACTTTTAAAAACGAAATCATTTGAAGGTACCATACTTGTAATGCAAACAAAACTTTTTTCTTGGTATTTTAGCTTTAGTAAAAAATTAACTAAATATTTAATTTACAACAATCTATGGGACATTTCCTTTTAAACGTTAATGTTATTCTGTTTACGTGCATGTAAAAAATGTATTATGTTTTAATTTATCTTAGCAGTCCAATTATATATATACTAGTAAAGTAAACACTTTGAAACACTTTTAAAACTTTTAAACAGCAATATTTCCAAAGGGCTCATATGGCCAGTTATTTGTTGATGTGTCGTAAAAATCCAAGCAAAAAAAAACAACCAAAGGGCTCATAAACTACATTTTCTGCATCTGAAACAAGGCAATATATCATGTATGTGGTCTTTAAAAAAAGAATTTGAAATCGGATTGCTGCACTCCCTTGTTATTCTTCGCCTTCATATTTTACTATTTTGATCTGAGGAATCCCTGACATTTAGGAGGAATCCCTGAATTAAATCTCAGGGATTCCTATGGGATCCCTTGTTAAAACAGTTAGTGTCGAACCCTGGTGAAACTATACAGTTAGGTAAAGTAAGTGCTGTTTATTGTGCTTGAAGTAATGTATAGAGGGCACCATGGGCAGCTAAAACCTTTTACAGGTAAAACTGGTATGTCACAATATAAGACCTGTACATTTAGTGTCTCAGTCAGTGTCTATTCTAGGAGGGGCGATGGGGGGATTCACCCATATTTTTGAGAATTCACCCCTATTTTTTTAGAGAGAGGGGGAAAATTTTACATAGACAAAGAAGGAAAAAGATCAACAAATGTAATAAATTCTCACTTTTCGATAAAAATCCCCCCTGTTTTTCGAATCCTAGAATAAACACTGCTCAGTTACTTGGAATCCTGCAGAAAAAAATGAATTTACTGGCCATATGTTGTCTTTTTTTAAACTGATCTGTTATATTCATTCTTAGACTCGGTAACTTTAAAGTTAAATGTTTGTGTAAAATATTTATAAACATTTGTATGACAAATTGTAACAGAATGTAACTTACACCTTTCTAAAGTTTCAAGATACTGTTACAGATAAAATGCAATTTACATAGGTGCATAAAAAATTTTTTTTCACAAGTAACTTGATAAAAGTTATAATTTTATGATATGGCATGGTAATTACATTGCTGAATATCTTTTAACCAAAATAGATACACTGATATTGTAAATGATTCATGGTTGGCATTTTCATTTTATTTCTAGATTAAATAACAAGATTCGCTTGTGAACAGGTATTCAATTCAAACTTCTCACAATTCAAGAAATGAGGTGAAATTTGGGACTGATTTCAAGGTAAGAAAAAATTTATATTTCATTATTTTATACTTCTTATACTAAATTGTTTCGTTCAATTATAAATATATATCTAATTGTATCTTCTTTAGCCATGATATATTTTCAGATGCTGCACAGTAGCAAGCTGAAAATTATGTTTCATGGGTTTGCAATACATAAAACGATCTGTTACCTAATAACAACATGATATTCATCAAAATGTGCTTGCATCCTTCAACTCTAGCTTAGCAGTAGACTCACTTTTCTTAACAGTACTTGTGGCTGAATTTTTGTAAGTGAAATTTGTTAGTAGTATGATATCGAATATTTGTAGAAAATTTCTTTTAATAAACTTAAACAAATCAAATCATTATTATAATTCATGAATTAAATAGATGCAATGCATAAAAATATGAATATGAAGATCCATTTGGAATGTAAATGCAATACTTTTTTCTGAAGGGTAAGAAAAATGGATTGTGTTTGGAAATTCTGAAAAAATTTAACATCCGTAAAGACTGTGGGACAACCTGGGCAATATGGACAATTGATTTGCTGCCTCTACACATATCCTAATGCAAAAAATGTTAAATGATAATTTTGATTACCCCTAGAAAATGTCTTTTGAGGAATGTTAAATTAATTTAACTGATATGTACATTTAAACTTGACATTATGCTCATATTTTCATCGTCAAGTTGAGCTAAATTAACTTTATATTTCAAAAGATTGACTGTCAAAATGGTGATTGACCAACAGTTGATATTGGAAAATGTTATGGGTAAAATTATAAATCTGCCTAAAATTTAAAAAGACTGCCCCACTCTTTTTATAAACTAAGCGTTATAGGTAAATTCTTATGGATATTTACAGAAATTTCGTGTGGATCTGTGAGTTATTCAATGTTTATGCGAACTTAATTATTAAATTAAAAGGAATTATGGCAAAATGAAAACATATTTTGACTTTCACCCGTTCACTCACTATACACCCTTGGATGGGCATAATGTCACTTTAAAAAAAAATTAAAAATGGAAAAATGATACAAAACTTGTAACTGAGCACCTTTTATTTAACAGGGGCAAAATTGAAAAGATCTAAGTGACACTGTTTAAATGTCACCTGAAATTTATCTGTAAATCATCAAATGGTGATATGATATGAGGACATAGTTAGTCAGAAATGTAGGGCAGATATTTGAAATATTTATATCATTATGTAACCTGCATGCAACTTCTTGGCCTCCTTTTGTTTATTTATGGTTTTGGGTATTAGTGACAGTGAAAGGGGCAGGTAATGAAGACTTAGATAGCAATTTTTCAAGTACAGAGTGCTCTCCCTGTATAAAGTCTTATACATTATTTTTCTATGACTTGTCCATTTTTGAACTTCCTTGAAGTAAACAAATTGCCTTTATAAAATTTTGTACATTTCTTCAAAGGAGAAGAAAACTTTATTTTGCTTAATTGTCTTGGCAAAAGTGGCATTGTGTGTTTTGGATAAAAAGAATTGTTGAAACTTGACTCAGTCTAGTCTTTTACTGATATATTATCATACATGCTTCGAGTTAAAATAAACTGGAAATAACTCTTGAAGCAATATCTGTGATACAGACATAGCTATGTCCCTTTGTACTTTAAGACATAAACTAAATGGTAGTAGCATTGTACATCCGGAGATGAATCATACCTACTTGAACTTCCATGCAGTCTCAACAAGCTTTTTACCTTTATACCTTACAGGTTTAACATGTGGTTATACAATTTGGATATAAAAATCACTTCATTTATATGTAACTAGGCAAGGCCGGGCCTCGTGGCCAAGTAGTTAAGGTTGTTGACTTCAAAGCCCTTGCACCTTACCCTTGTTGGTTCAAATACTGACCTTTCATGTGTGGAAGCTATCAAGCTAGCTTACGGAACATTGGTGATTCTACTCAGTTGCCCGTTTGCGCTTGAAATAATGCATAAAAGGGCACTCCACCAGTAAATCTTGAAAGTCGCCATATGACATATACTGTGTTGTTGCAACATAATTATAACCAAAAAAAAAATGAGAGAACTAATAACAGTTCCAAAGACTTTGTGGAAACAATCATTAGTTATCATTTCTTGAAGTGCCTTCAGAAAAGGATGATATCTTAGAATAAATAACTTATAGAAAATGGAACTTTGATAAATGTTTACCCTTTGATGGATTATAAGGTACATATGGTTTATTATGGTCTTGTTAAAACTAAATTTTTCACTTTTTCTTTATTGACCTGTATGTTATAAAATATTTGATTCATAAAAAGTAGCTGCACTTCAATGACTTCAAAGATCTCAACCCTATGTTGTGTTAAAACTCCATATGTTGTAATGGTAAAGGTTAATGAAATTATGATTGATTATTATATTTGTTCTCATAGTTTGACAATACTTTAAGCGCCAAGGTAGCATCCAAGGTTTGCAGAAATTTTGATTTAATAATTGAATTAAAAATGTTTATGATTGACTGCCCTAGCAATTTTTAGTAGATAATAAATTCCACAGGAAAGTTACGTTTAAGATAACTTGATCCTCAGTATGCTCAATAACACTTATTTTGCAAGGATTCAATTTTGAATTAATTACATTGTACGTTTAATATGATTTTTTTTAAAACTAAGTTTAAGATTCAAAGATGCTGTTGAGATAGGTATATATATAAATTCAGAGGGGCTTATGCAGTTTTAATTTGTATACAAATGCCTTATATTTTCATTTAAATGTTAAACAACTTTCATACATATTTAAATAAATTCATTGCTAAAAAAAAAACCATAAATATTTAAATGTTGACATCCCCCCCTCTCTTTTAACTGAAAGTATTACATTTCTAGCATATGCCTACGCAATTTTTGGCAAAGTTTAAGATTTTAATAACACAGTTGCATTCATTTTGTCATTTCTTTTTTAAAATAACTTTTATATTCACATAAACCTTTGAAATGATCAGTTGAAGTTGAACTTTAGAAAGCCATGCATCTTTTTAAACCCATAAATAAATTATGTAAACAGTTTGTTGAGTGTCATCTTATACAGCTTATAAAGCATGACAAAAGGGAACTTGTCACTTGAAAACCAAACAAACAGAAATACAGAAAAGAAAACCATAACCAGATTCTATATTAATACACACATAATAATTATTTGCATTTCTTGGTGTTTTTCAAATCTCTTTTGTCTTCTTTTTAAAAAATAAATGAGTAGGAAGTGTTGTGTTTGCTCCACCTTTAAAATTTAAAGCATTGGGGGGCCTAAGGTAGCTCGGGTGAAAGTTGATGGCTTGCTTGTCATCACTAAGAGGTCAAATCCTGTTAGAGAGGTTTTTCTCTGTATCCTATTAGAGAGGTTTTATTCTATATCCTGTTAGAGAGGTTTTATTCTGTATCCTGTAACAGAGGTTTTACTCTGTATCCTGTTAAAGAAGTTTTACTCTGTATCCTGTTAGAGAGGTTTTATTCTATATCATGTTACATAGGTTTTATTCTGTATCCTGTTACAGGGGTTTTACTCTATATCCTGTAACAGAGGTTTTATTCTTTATCCTGTTACAGAGGTTTTATTCTATATCCTGTTACAGAGGTTTTATTCTATATCCTGTTACAGAGGTTTTATTCTATATCCTGTTACAGAGGTTTTATTCTTTATCCTGTTACAGAGGTTTTATTCTATATCCTCTTAGAGAGGTTTTACTCTGTATCCTTTTTGAGAGGTTAAATTATGTCCAACAAGTGAGCTTAAGTGAAAGCCTGTTAATAAAATAATGTCAAACGGTTTTTAGATATTTTTTTACCAACAACATGTTGTCATATTATGCTGAGATGTTCTATCAAGGCACTAGATAAATGCTAGATCTAAGGACCTGCGACCAAAAAATTCACAAAGGACTGCAGGTATTGAACGCTTTTTTCCCCCCTATTTTGAGCAATTGACCAATATGTGTCACAACACCTATAAGATTTGCCTGTAATACAAATATAGAACTAGGCCAGTCTTAACCCTCTCTGTAGGTTTTACATTGTTAGTCACTTAACTTAAGCAATTGTAATACATTTTGAAAATTCATTTGAAATTTCTGAAAGCATTGGTGTGACCTAAAACAATACAATACTTATCCTGCGGAAAGGAGAGTGACATCACCTGAAAGCATTGGTTTTTTGTAGTCATACATTTCTCTTATAAGATGCATTTAAATGTTTTAGTGTTGTTAGTGCTTTTCTTTTTTTAATTGAAGATAAGTTGAAAATATACCTTTTTGTTATGCCCCCATGACGTAACCTGGAGAAGGGGGAATATAGATTTGCCTATTTTCCTCCGCCACACTTAGTTTTTAACATAAATTCAATCGTTAACATTGTGTAGGGGATATAACGTTAAATGTGTATAAATGTGAAAAATTCATTAACATTTTTTTTAGACATTTGAAAAATTCATTACATTTATTTGCTATATATTTATTATTAATGTTTCAGTGATAATTTTTAAGGAACTCTTGATATTGTATTAAATGCTTGATGCTTGACTAACAATAACTTAAATCACAGGTTGTTGATGTGTTCTTTAATGATAGATAATACAATTAATATGCATAAATAAAAAAAAATCCCAGGTTGTAAAGTTTTTTTTAACATTAAACTATGATTGACTGGCTAGCTTGAAGCATATTCAGAAAAAAACTAATGTGTCGTGTTTTTTTTAAAGGAATACATTTCGTTTTTTAAACACCTGTTTGAAAATTCAGATATAAATATTGATTCCCTGCGGTTAAAGTTATCATGCAGATAATGTACCTCAATGTTACATTTACCTAAATCAGGACAAACGTGTTAAATTTATAATCGGGACTAAATGTCAAATATTTAATCGGGACTAAACGTGCTACTTTCTGTTAACAATACAAAAAACGTTTTTAAATAAACTTTTTCAGAGATGTTTACACTTCAGGAAAGGTAATAATTCATTCATATAAGTTAATGTTTAGTGGTTGTGAAT